AGGGAATAGCGGGTAGCGAGCAGCGGATAGTGAGTGGTGAGTTGTGAGCAGTGAGTAGTGCATAGTGACATGTGAGTATTCAGTAGTGAGTAGTGTATAGTCGGCAGTGGGTAGTGAGTAGTGCTTAGTGAGTAGTGAGTAGTGGGCAGTGAGTCGTGTTTAGTGAGTAGTGAATCTTGAGTATTGGGTAGTGAGTAATGCGTAGTGATTGGTGAGTAGTGAGTCGGGGGTAGTGAGTAGTGAGTAGCGGGAGCGTAGTGCGTAGTGAGTTGTGGGTAGTGAGTGGTGCGTATTGGGTAGCGAGTAGGTTGGAGGGAGTAGCGAGTAGTGAGTAGTGAGTAGTGAGTACTGTGTAGTGAGTAGGGAGTAGCGAGTAGTGGAGAGAGAGTAGTGAGTTGTTGGCAGTGAGTAGTGAGTGTGAAGTGTGAGTAGTGAGTCGTGAATAGAGGATAGTGGTTAGTGGGTAGTGAGTAGTGCTTTGTGATTAGCTCGTAGTATGAAGTGAGTTGTGTTGAGTGAGTAGTGAGTAGTCAGTATTGAGTAGCGGATAGGTAGTATTGAGTAATGAGTCGTGGGTAGTGAGTAGGGAGTAGGGAGTAGTGAGTAGTCGGTAGTGGGTAGTGAGTAGTGGGTAGTGAGTAGTGAGTCGTGAGTGGTGAGTAGTGAGTAGTGAGAAGTGAGTAGTGAGTAGCGAGTGATGAGTAATGTTTGTGGCTAGGGTTAGGGTTCGGGGTTCGGGCTGGGGATTAGGTTAAGGGTGAGGATTAGCGTTGGGGGTGGTAGGGGTCGGGTCCGGAGCCCGTGGTCGCCGTGGCGACAGGGGGGGAAGGGGGGGGGGAATTTGGCGGCCACAAGGGGGGGAGGGGGGGGGGTTCGGACCCCCCCCCCCTTTTGAAAGAGGGGGAGGGAGGGGGGGTTCCCCGACGACCGATCGGGAAAGGGGAGGAGGGGGGGGGGTCCCCGACGACGGATCGGGAAAGGGGGGGGTTCCCCGACGACAGGTCGGGGAAAGGGCGGGGGGGGGTCCCCCCCCCCCCTGGGGAGATCCAGCGGCGCATCCTCGGATTTTGATGAGGATAGTGATGTTGAGGGCGAGGGTGATGGTGACGATGATGGTGAGAAGGGCGAGTGCGGTGATGAGAATGATGATCAGGATGAGGATGGGGATGGTGATGGCGGTGGTGACGGGGATGACGGTGAGGATTTGGATGTGGATGGGGATGATAATGAGGATGATCATGATGATGGTGGCGGTGATGGGGATAATTATGATGGTGGTGGTTATGGTGATGGCGATGGCGATGAGGATGAGGGTGCTGATAATGATGATGGTGGTGGTGGTGAGGATGAGGGCGAGGACGATGGATCCGATGATACGGAAGAGGACGAGGATGAGGATGAGGATTTGGGCCAGGATGAGAATGAGGACAAGGACGAGGATGAGGATGAGGTTGAGGATGAGGACTGTGACGAGGATGAAGATGGTGATGATGATGCTGCTGATGATCATGATGATGATGGTGATGATGCTGCTGATGAGGATGATGATAATGATGATGATGGTGATGGTGAGGATGAAGATGATGATGAGGATGATGATGATGAGGAGGATGTTGATGAGGATGGTGATGGTTAGGGTGAGGGTGATGGTGACGATGACGATGAGGGCGAGTATGGTGATGAGAATGATGATCCGGATGAGGATGGGGATGATGATGGTGGTGGTGATGAGGATGATGATGGCGATGATGAGGATGTGGATGGGGATGCTGATGATGATGATGATGATGATGATGATGATGATGGTGGTGACGATGATGAGGATGAAGATGGTGACGATGATGAGGATGGGGATGATGATGGTGGTGCTGATGAGGATGATGATGGCGATGATGAGGATGTGGATGGGGATGCTGATGATGATGATGACGATGATGATGGTGACGATGATGATGATGATGATGATGATGATGATGATGATGATGATGATGATGATGATGATGATGATGATGGTGATTGTGATGGCGATGTTGATGAGGATGAAGATGCGAGTAATGATGATGATGATGATGATGATGATGATGATGATGATGATGATGATGATGATGATGGTGATGATGATGATGATGATGATGAGGATGAGGATGAGAATAAGGATGAGGAGCAGGATCAGGATGAGAAGGACGATCATGATGATGATGATGGTCAGGGTGAGGGTGATGGTGACGATGATGATGAGGGCGAGTATGGTGATGATAATGATGATCAGGATGAGGATGGGGATGATGATGGTGGTGGTGATGAGGATGATGAGGATGATGATGGTGATGCTGAGAATGTGGATGGGGATGCTGATGATGATGATGATGATGATGATGATGATG